GACCACGTGGCCCTTCTGGTCTGGCCCGGTCATCGTCCTGCATAGACTGAGGTGTGGCTCCATCCCATGACTACAGCTATCCAGGAAGGAGGCCCACCCCAGCAAATGTGGCGTGCCAATTCAGGTTGTCACAACTGCTATGTCCAAGTCTTGGGCGGAGCACTGGAAAAATAGGATTGACCCAAATGACCAGTTAAACTTTCCATTGGCAGAGACTGAATTAAAAGTTTAAAAGAAAAGAAACATTTCCATTTGAGGAGTTTGGTTTTTAATGAAATAAAACAATACTGACATAAGATCCACAGAGTCATGGGAAAGTGGTTAACTGAATTCTGTGGTGCTGTTCTGGGCACTTGGTACCAGGTTAAAGCCCTGAGATGAATTTGGGACATCGTAGCTTCTCCCAGAGAAGCCTGTCACGCCTCTGAGCTGCAGGCCTCTTCAGATCTCGCCTCCAGTTCCAGGGGTTCCCAGCAGGAGTCAGAACAAGGGAGACTCGTACAGACTCAGACTGTGTGGCTCCAGAAACGCTGTAAACTAAGAATTTTATCTACTGTATTGTGCAGTGAAGAGTTGCTTCAAAGAACGCAAGTCCCAGTGTGTGGCACCCTCTCTTCCTGAAGTTGGCTGCTTCTTAGCCAACCCCTGGGAGCAGATGATACACATTTGAATCAGACATTTTTTTGAGAAGTGAGTGCAGCACAGGCGTGTGTTACATAACACGGAGGGAGAATCTGGGCTGGAACACAGGCGGAAGTGAGCACCACCGTGGCGTGGCGTCAGGGAGGGTTTGTGACTAGTTCAGATCTGTGATGCAGCCAAGTGAGTTCCAGTGACTTTCTGATTTCCGAGTTTATTGGAGTTTGGAGATGTGGCTGAGTAGATGCCGGCCCCAGCCCCTGGCCCCTGGCCCCGTCTGTCTGGAGCACCTTGGGAAAGGGCTGCAAGCGCTGTACCTCCCTTTGCCTCCGGATCCCTGCCTGGTTCCTAGCTCTTCAGTACTGGGAGGAGGATTTGGGCTCCTTGGTGTCAGGCAATACCCAGCAGAAGATGGCAGTCCCATACTGAGCTCTGACCTCTCCCAAGGCAAGGGACAGCCTGACCTGGGTGAGGTTATTGGTTACATTGAAGGTCTGCTTGAACACGGCCACAAGAATGTGTGGGTGTTATCATCTCCGGAAATTACAAAGTCGGAGAATAAACTTCCTGTGAGAGCTCTAACAAACAAGTGACCGAAATTGGTGTCAGCAAGGAGACCAAGGCTGGGCCCCGCTTCCAAAGAGAACAACTAAGAATCATCTGCCAACCCAGAAATGCATGTTTCCCACAAGGAGAACAGGACACACAACTTCTGGTCAGGCGACCTGGTTCTGACCAGGATTAAAGATGGCTGCGTTGCATGTGTGTGTCTTCCTTCCTAGTGACAGCCCCAGTTTCATGCTATCGCTTACAGCTGTTGTTCCTGTAAACAGGCAGAAAAAGAAAATAATTAGGCAAGGGGGAGAGAGAGTACCTGAGAGTAGTTGGGAAGGGGTCACACTCAGTGTGGTATTTCCTGTGCTGTCACGTGACCGGCTGCGCTCAGCCTCCCACAGTGTGCAGTGTGAGAACGTGGGCTAGGGGCAGCTCCTGCATAGGGGCAGGAAGGTCTCAGATGATAGATGGCCTGCCCTAGGTCAGCCATAAACAAAGGCTCCGAGACGACACCCTGCCCACCTGTCAAAAGTTCCCAAGCCTCAGAGCACTAGGACGGTCACCAGGCCAGATGATGCCCAGGCCTGCGGGCATGTGGGCACGTCCCAGACACCATGCACAGGCGTGGTGAAAACCACAAAGGTCCCAAATAGATCGTGTATGTCCTGCGAATAGAAGCCTGCTTGCTCGTGTTCCGTGGGGTATTTGTGTGTGTGCTTTATTCACAGAGAGGCTTCCTTTTTCACTGTGTGTGTGTGGATATCGATGCATGTAAGTTCAGGTGTCTGCCAAGGCCAGAGCTTTCAGATCCTCTGGAGCTGGACTTACAGGCCGCTGTGAGCCGCCCAGTGTGCATGCTGGGAACCGAGCTCGGGATCTCTGCCCGAGCAGGACACTCTCTGAACCGCTAAGCCATCTCCTCCACGCCTGTATTTTTATCTGTTCAACTGAGGTATAATTTGCATGTAACAAATTTTCCTTTTACAATATACTTCCATGCATTCGGACTAAGAGCCATGTCAGTACATACATGCTACATGGGCATCACAGACTGCAGCCTGTGGGCCAAGCCTGGCGCCCAACCTGGCTTTCTTTTAACCCGTTTCAGTGGCATAAAGAAAGCAAAGCTTGCATTAGCCCACACAGACAAAAATATTTGCCGTGGGCCCTTCGCAGGAAGAGCACGGGCATTTGACACGCCCCTTCCCCCACCTTTCACTCGTGCCCCCTACCCCGCAGCCACCACTGGTCTGCTTTCCACCACACGGTCTTTTTCCTTTCGAGAGCCTTCCATAAATGAAGCCATCCAGTATGCCGCCTTTTGTGTCTGGCTTTTCTCTTTTGCAGGCTTTGAGATTCCCTGTCCGGGCTTCTGCATCTAGGAGTTCTTCATTCCTTTGTTCCGTCCTCTCTGCATGGCGTGACAGCCGCTTAAAGGCAGGGTTCTCCTGCCGAGAGGGTGGATGGCATCCTCCTCCTTTAACCACGGGCAGCCTGGCGGTCAGGGCCTGGCGCCCAGGAGTGCCCACTTCTCACGGCCTCTTGTCTTTGCAGGTATGAACAACCGGGAGGTGCTGGAGCAGGTGGAGAGGGGCTACCGGATGCCCTGCCCACAGGACTGCCCCATCTCCCTGCACGAGCTCATGATCCACTGCTGGAAAAAGGATCCGGAAGAGCGCCCCACTTTCGAGTACTTGCAGGGCTTCCTGGAGGACTACTTTACGGCCACGGAGCCCCAGTACCAGCCAGGGGAAAACCTGTGAGCACCTGCTCTTCGGAGACCTCTCGCCAGAGGCCTCCCCACCCCTCCCCATTAGCTTCCAGTTCCGTAGCCAGCTGCCCCTGAGCAGCGAGAACCGTCCAGGATCAGATTGCATGTGACTGAAGCCGACGACCTTCCACGGCCTCATTAATGACACTTCTGTCCCCAGTCCGAACCTCCTCTGTGAAGCATCCGAGACAGAACAGTGTTGTTTCTCAGACTTTGGAAATGCATTGTATCGATGTTATATGTCAAAGGCCAACCTCTGTTCCGTGTAAATAGTCGCTCCCGTGCCAACAACCCTAGTGCTTTCCTTTTTTAAAAAAGAAAAAAAAAATGCAAATCCTATGTGATTTTAACTCTGTCTTCACCTGATTCAACTAAAAAAAAAAAAGTATTATTTTCCAAAAGTGGCCTCTTTGTCTAAAACAATAAAATTTTTTTTCATGTTTTAACAAAAACCGATCAGGACAGGTGTTTGTTTTTTTTCTTTTTTATACATGAGTATATATATATATAAACATGTTCCTGTACATACACCATGTGGGTGCTACCATGGAGACCGTGGCCCACAAAGGCCGCGTAGTTACAGGACCAGAGGGAGGATCGCTGCAGAAACCTGCATCTCCGCACGGGTGTCGTGTTCCGAAAGCCGGTGGCCTCATTTTTTGACTTCTACACAGCATGAAATTCCCCCCTTCCTTTGGATTGCACTTTTCGGTTCCTGATCGTACCTGTAGGTTACTGTTGGTGTGACTCTTCTCAGGTCCCTGAGCTGAGTTCACACATCTCGGGACCGGCTTTTGCTCCGGCGTACTGTGACCTGTTCTTGAGACTTGAAAGAGAGCACATTTAAGCAAGCAGACGGTCCTGCCAGGAGAGCGCGAGACGGAGACCACACAGACTTCCTGTATAAATATGAATGCTGAAGTGTTTCAAATGTTCTTCTTTTATTTAATAAATCTTGTAACCACATTTAAATGGTCTAAAACCCATATAGCATTGTAGTCACGGCAACCTACTAAAACTACTTTCTCATGCAACTAAAACTTACGGGGAAGGCAAGGGTGGGGGGGGGTTGTACATGTCCCATTGTAAAGTAAGTGTTCGATGTCCTGTACTGCTAATGAATGGCTCTCCGTGTCCAGAGTACTCCAGTCAATAACTATGCACTACTTTACATTTCATGGGGGTGCACAAAAAAGAATTACATTTTTAGTTGCTCTTTGTACCAACCTTGAATTACATATGTTTAACAACAACAGAGCGATTCCTATTTCTATTGAGTTTTTTAATACTGAATAGCAACTCGGAAGTCTTAATTCCTTTTTTTGTTGATGATTTATTTGTGAGTTTACATTTTTAAATTGTTTAACTTTCTTAATTTAGTAATTAAAGAGAGCATTTTACATTTGAAACAATTGGTTCGTTTGTGTACGTCACAGGAGGTCCCCAGGCGCTCTGTGGCATAGCTGTCCCGCACCAGATGGGGAGAAGCACCTGGTGAATTGGGCCATTGCTCAGTGATTTCCAAATGACAGAAACATGAGGAACATCTGGAGATGCTCCCCCACCAAAAGGCAAAGCGATTGGCTGGTTCCGAGAGTTGTTACAGCAGAACTGGGCGTGCCCGAGCACTGTAGCTTACCTGACCCTGTCTCTAAGTGGAATGAACTGGGCTTCCCTTGTAGAGTCCTTCCTGACCTCAAGACATAAATCCGTTTCCAAGCACCCCTCTACTTGTATAATAAACTTGCTCAGCGGGAGACAGTGGTGCGAGGGAAGGGAGGTGGGTGGGCCAGGTGACGGCCCAGGCCTAGCTCTACCATCATTCCCTGAAGAATCTTGAGCAGCCGCAGGCACCTCAGCTGCAGGAGGATCAGTGCGGAGGAGGTGCAGGTGCATGCCAGCTCCTTGTAGCCTTAACTTCTTAAGACGCCAAGGTCACTGGTGTCGGATGGAGCCACGCAGGAAGAAAAGGCTTTTATTGTTGCTGAAATAACACTTACCTTTCAGAAAGGATTTTTAGCATTTGGGGGGAACATATGAAACATTTTAAAATCAAAACTGTTATTTTGGATATGAATACCCTTGACAGAATTTCAGACTTGTTAGGTACAATTTCTATCATGTCGGATGACTCATTAACAGGTTCTAGAATTTTTTTTAAAGATAATGATTTTCAATCCTTACTTCACTTGAGGTAATTTGCAAATATTCTCTGGAGGATTTTTGTTTTGACTTACTGAAAAATCTGAAAAAGAAACTTTTAAGCAGAAATTCTTTGAGGCAAAAACTATTTCCTTCTCATTTCATCAAGTGAGTTGATTGTGGATTCTTGTATATAAGGAAAAACTAAAGACAGACATAAGTCATCTCGAGGGCACACTTCTGAGATCAGAACCCCGGAACATTCCAGAATGTGGGTAGAAGAAATGCAATCAGGAAGAAGTCAGGCAAGGATCTAGGTTTTTCCAAGTGTCTAATGAACTAGTCCCGTGGTCACCTCTAGGGACTTCTGATTCACCCTAAGGTCACCTCTTGGTGGTCACAAGAAGTAGGGGTCAGGGAACTGCACCTGCTCGCTGTGAAGGAGGGGAAAATGTTTTTGTGATGGGGGGGGGGATCTTTGTTGCTGTTGTTTTTCTTCAGTGACCCGGAATGAAGAGGTAAGTACTTGCTCTCGAGGAGAGCCACCAACTAGCGTTGCTCAGCGCACAGGATGCCTTCCCAACCAGCGATTTTCACTTCTGAAATAATCAAATACGAAGCTGACTGGAGAAGTCCATTTTCCTAGCCCACGAGTAAAGGTCGATAAAAGGATCCCTCTTCTCTTCATTGATGCTGCACCCCAAACAGGCAGCGTCGAGTTACCTGATAGGGCCCTGATAGGTGCCAGGTCCCGTGTGTCAGAGCGTCAGCCGCACAGACTTTCAAGGCCCTGCCGTGGTGGGAACAGGTGCTTCCATGGGGAAAGTCAAGGGGAACGATGATCCCACAAAGCCTGACACGTGACTCGAGATTCCGGTGTTTACTCACCTGGAGACAGATAGGAATCCTTCTGTGGCTAATTCTTGGCAGCCGAGGATTTTTCTAGCAGCGCCAGAGCTGCAGAATTTTTATCTGCGATTTCCCACGGGCCTGTAACAGTGTCTGCCATGTTAACTGGAACGGCTCTTTCATGGGAAGGTAAGATTCTCGGCAGCATGCTGGGGAAAAAAGCACCATAGATTCCTGTAGAAGAGATGCTGCCTCTATTGTTGGCTGTGACGCAGAACAAGAAAACGCACGGGGCAGGCGTTTGTTTCCTAACAAGCTGTATTCAAGAAAAAAAAATGGTGTTTGATCAGTTAGTTCTGAAAGAGATTTTAATAGAGTCAGATGACTTTTGTTGGCTTGCTTTCCACTGCATGTAACATACACTGTGAGATTCAGTTAGGCTGATGTCAAAAACCTGTTTTCTGGAGGGAAGGAGGTTGGCTTTGATCCTGGAGGGGACAAAAGTAGCTCAAGCAGCTTCTTTATCTATATTTTTTTAAAAAAAAAATTCTCAAGTGTAGGTTCTAACTCCATAGAACATGATGAAAAATAATGCCTGTAGTATCTTAAATACCAAATGAAACTTCATAATTAGTATTTATATTACTATTCAGAGACGCTTTATAACAAACATCCAAACCATTCCTCCTCTTTACCCAATGCAAAATAGAATCCCACGAGGAAGACATGAGGAGGACCAATGTATCCTTACTTTAAGTGGAAGCTCAGAGCTAAGGGCTAGAGCACCTGCCTTGCAAGCTGAGGTCCTGGGTTCATCTCCAGCACCCTCCCTGCCACACCAATCTAGAGGCTGAAATACAAATTGGTGGTTTTGTGGTTTTGCAGGAACAGCCCTGTAAGAACGTAACGCTTGACAAGGGACTGCTCTCCCACCGACTAGAAGACCGTGCTTCTCTCTGAAGTACCCAGAATGCACGTCACCGTGCGCTTCACACCACCAGGTGCGCTTCTCGCCACCAGGGTGTTCGGTGCACTGCTCTTCTGTGGATGTGTTTTCCGGCGCAGGCCGAGCACTCCTCGAGACCAGGAACTGCGTGGTATTTTGATTTTACTTTTCTGCACCTTGAACAATGATGGGCTTCCGGCCGATGCGGGGCTGATGCATGGGTGGATGGTTAGATGGATAGTACCCGCCAATCAGTGGGGTGATGGCTTGCCTTCCGATGGCTTTCTTATCCGAGAGCCAGGGGGCTGTACTATTCTGCCTCAGCACTAACCCTGCCCGTTACAGTGTGCAGTTATTAGTCTCCAAGATAACTGTGAAAGCTCGAGCTGCAGCCTGAACCAGGCACAACCAGTGGTTCCTCACCTTCCCCCGGGGCCTCGCCCCAACACCATGGGTAGAAACTCAAACTTCTTAAAGCGTGCTAGCTGACTGCACAGAGTAAGAAGTCACCAAGTGTGGCCCAGGGGAGGTCCTATTTGAATTTGATAATTTTATGAAAACTCTTTGTTCCATTTCCCAAGATAACCATCTCTTTGTTTTCATATAAAACTGTTTCTCCAAACCAGGCGTGCAATGTCCCCAGCCAGTGGCTTGTAGTATCCCTGTTGCAGCACATGACCAAGTACTTCCAGCCTGTGTGAGAAGCACTGTAGGAAGTGGAGGCTTGCTTGTGTGTGGAGACTGAACGTGCGAAGGGTATCATTGCCCCCTCTCGTGAGGCTTTTCTGACTTCCCTTCCCACTGAGCTGAAAACAGCCTCGTGTCTGAAGGGGAGAAAAGGCAAGAGAGAACTTGATGGAAAGGAAAAGGCAAGCCACCCAGAGCCTCCTGGAGGGAGATCAGATCAACCTCCTTGGCCCGGATGTCACAGGTAGGAGATGGAGGGATGGAGACCTTTGGCAAAGGAGAAGAAGCCTAGGCTTGGAAGAGAGACGTTCTGGGCCACCGCTCTCTGGAGAAATGTGATGAAGGCAGAGATGACGGTGGGTACACGTGAGTGCTGGTGATTATGCCTCACTTCAGACTTCTGGTGTATGCTCATTATGAGCTTGACCATGTGCCCCCAAAACTCAAAAGACATACAATTAACATTCACAGCCCAGTGAAGACGGAGGCCCAAAGGACCCACTGCAATGAGCTGTCTGTAGAGGGGAAGCCAGTGTCAGCTCTGCGTGGGATCTGCAGGGCACCACAGCCAGCGCTCGGTGAAGGTGGCCTAGGTATTGCAGTGTAGGGACACTTCTTGCCTTTCAGGGTGACACCTGCTTTGAACACAGAAGTATGAATCCAAAGAGAAAACAAAGCAGTTGCATTAAAACTCTCTCTTTCTTTCTCTCTCTCTCTCTCTCTTTGTACTTTCTAAAAAGCGAGGTGGTGACACCATTTAAGGACAGAGGGTAAGACACTTTTGGCGTTTGTTTTTTTTTTTTTTTCCTTTGGGAGATTCATTGGTTTGTTGGTGTGTGTGTGTGTGTGTGTGTGTGTGTGTGTGTGTGTGTGTGAGTGTGGGCAAATCCTTACCTGTCTCCTTGTTTGAGATGGAGTCTCTTGTTTGCCACTGGGTATACCAGGCCAGCTGGCCTGAGAGCTCCCAGGAAGTCACCTGCCTGCCTCCCACCTTGTGCTAAGAATGCTGGGATCACACAAGTGTGCTTCTGTGTCCAATTCTCATGGGTCTAGAGGTCCAAATTCAGTTTCTCGTGAATGCATAGCAATTCACGCATCAGGTCATCCCTCCAATTCCAAGAATAAGTTCCAGGCAGGATGTTGATTCCAGGTTCCTGCTGGAGTGTGGCTGGGAATGGAGAGCACAAGCATCCAAGAACTGCCAGCCGAGGGTTTGTACCAACTTGGTACCTCCCCTTGCGGCAACCGATAGAGAGAGCTCCCCTATTGGTGTGCCCATTTTTCTGTACCTGCTAGCCACACCGTTTCACTTGCTGCGTCGGACAAGGTGTAAATTCCTGGAAGGTACTACTCAGTATCACAAGGTGTTCTGGTTGTTTTGTTCTGGATATTGCTCTTTTAGTTAATTATCTAGTGCTTGCTATGTAATAACCGGAAGCAGGAGAGGATGCAAGGAGTACTATTCAGATAGTGTTTTAATGGAAAGCACACATGCGACACTGTGGGGACACAGCATGAGAGATGTCTGTCTGTCTTTCCTTCTCTTTTTCTTTGCGTGTGTTTATAATGGATTCACCTAAGCCTGTCACAAACTAAATCCAAGCATGTGGGTCCTTTTCGTTTAATATTTTCAGACACCCCCAGGAGATAAATAAGCACTGGAGGGTGTCAGGAGGGAAGTCAAGCCTCTGGAGATTGGGCTCTGGAACCCCAGCCACTGTAAACGGAGCCGGAGGTCTGTCAATCCCAGAGAGTGCGCTAGGAGATGGTTCGCGCGTGACAGCCGCTGCCTAGAGAATTAGAGAACGAATAACAATGCTCTCTGGTAAATTAGCCATGTTGCACTGTGCACAACATAGTGATGGAGAGGACTCTTACAGCGGAATGATAATTTGCCCGCATCCTTAACATAAAATGCATTGATTTTTTTTTTTTTACTTTGATAGACTTCTTGATTTTAAAACATGGGCAGCTCCAGGGGCGCTCAGCAAAGCACCGTCGTGAGACGGTTAGGAAGTGGAGGAGGAAACGGTGCAATCAGCAAAAAACCTTCGTGAGCCACTTCACCTCCCTCCTCTCACCTGTGAATATCAGGAAATATTTGTTTGTACATTCCTGAAGGCCTCGGAGTGAAAACGCGAGGCATTCATCATTGTCTTTGCTATCGCTAAACCGTGACCTCCCCGTGTTGGAGGGCAGAAAAGCGAGGCTTCCTTCTGTCCGCATTCGTCTGTTCTGATTCAAACAGTTCCTGTGTTTTGAATAGCAGAGGGAGGATGGAAACGGAGCAGAGCTGTACTTAAAAACAGCAAGCCAAGAACAAAAGCAGCGCGCGTGCAGCCAAAGGGGACCTTGGAAGATACATAGATGAAACAAAACGCTGCGCTTGGCTGAGAGTCTGTTTTCGAAAATGCAAAATGGAGAGCAGCGTTGCTCCAACCGGAAAGGTTCCTCAGTCTCCCATTCGACTGAAATAAAAAAAGGGGTCCTGTAATCTGCTCTGACAGTCAGAAGCTGCCCTGCTGCTCTGAATTATGATATTTGCTCTCGACTAATACAGATTTTTCCAAAGCAGGGCAGCATTTGTAGCTAGAGCGTGCCCTGCCCTTCGGCAGAGCACAGCCATGCCAGTCAGTCTCACTGATGCCTTTCCTCCTCGTCCCATCCCCCACACCCTTCCGCTTCTTCATGTTCCAATCACCACCATTTCCGTGCCGTCCTTTGTTTGCTTGTCTGGTCTCCCTTCCTAGGGTCCCTATTAATTTAGTAAAGGCAGACTTTTTTCTTTTAAAGAAAAATTCTCACTATCCATCCTGGGGCTGACCTCAAACTCAAGGTCTCCCTGCCTTAGTCTTCCAACTGCTGGCGTTTGGGGCGTGGGCCGCTATGCCTAGCTAAAGCCTTAGGTCTCTACCCTTCAAGGCGAACCTGCGGCTGCTGGACTATCCTGAGGAGGCGTCTGTGGGAGACCTGCCCTGTCTCCTCTGTATGCTTGCCTGTCTCAGAAATCTGAACTCTGTACCTCATAAATCTCAACCCTTCTCTTCTGGACTCCCATTTTCGGCAGGCGAAGGGCCTTCCCTGACCCCACTTCTCCTCCCCGTCCCACCCCAGTCCCCAGCCCTGCCATTGACCTATGATTGATCAGACACCCAGCTTTAGACCTGTGTCTCCTGCCACTTGCTACCCATCAGCTTTATGCAAATAGAAAAGGCACCCTTACCTCCACATGCTTTGCTGCCGTCTGCCAGGAAATAGCTACAATAAATATGCAAAGGGATAATGACTCAAATGTGAATGCCACCCCCTCAAATTGTGCAGTACAAACCGGCGCAACTCCGTGTGTCAATCCCGCCGCGTGAACTCGCCAGCGCTGTCCCGAAACCCTGCAGAGACATCCTAGCTTCGGTAGATCAGCCTTGCCTGGTTAGAGCTTTAAAATCGAAGCGTTTCAGCCATGATCAGAAACTGTAGAGAGATGGTTTCTACAAGAGACAGTCCCTGGGTAGCAGTGCCTGTAACAGTGCCAGACGCCAAGGACTTAGCCAGAGTTTGGACTCTAGTGTCCAAAAGTAGACAAAAGCATCCAAGTTTTTTTGTCAAACCTGACTGTGAGGGTCCCAGGGCAGGGACTGTGCTCAGCCAGGGTCACCATCACCCCTCTCTCTGTCTCTGCTTGTCCCATTGGTTTGCCATCCAGCCCCCTACTTCCTGGCAGTCTTTTACTACATAACAGATTTCCCCCCCCCCCCAAAAAAAAACTTCATGGCAGAGCTAGAAGCAAGTCGTGTATTTTGCTCAGAGAGCTGCAGCTGGGGAGGCTCCTGGGGACCACTGGCCTCTCCTCCCCAGAGCAGTGCTTGGGGATCTCTTGAGACAGAGAGCTCGCTAGCTGCTGTCCCTAGCTGCTGAGCAAGAACCCAGCTGGGGCTGTGGGTGAGGACTTGGGCTCCCAGGTGGCCCGTGGGCTGGCTCACACAGCGGGGCCCCATGCTCAGACCTCCGAGCTGACTCACGGCAAAGCAGAGACAAGCTACACCCACGGAGTCCTAACTTCACGTTTCTATGCAAAAGAAATGGCTGAGGATTCTAGCCACGAGACTTGAGATTGTCTTGCAGCGGCCCATCACCAGAACATGTAGGCTGGCCCAGCTCTCCCTGATGCCGCCCCCACTGTGCCTAAGGACATGAAAACTGCATCTCCCAGACTGCCTTGCTGTTTAGACCACAACTGTGAATTGGGCTACACCAATCAGATGTATTGAGGAAGAGTTTGGAAGGCAGAAAGGCGGTGTATGCCAGGTCCCCGCAGCCTGTGTTTCTGTCCTACCAGGAAGCAAGGTCATGGAGCCAGTGATGTCTCCTCTCCAGTCATGGGTGTCAAGATTCAGTTGGTGAGGTGCCATTGGCTAGGCTCCACATTCTAACAGGCACTCAGAGGTGATGGTGGCAGTCCATGCCGTTCCTGGCTTCCTGGCTACCCTCTGGCCTTGTTTTGGCAGTCACAGTAACTGCAGCTCCAACAGTGGTTTTCTGTATCTCAACCTCCTGGTCTGTGCAAGAGGCCACAGGTCTACTGGCAGAGTGGCTTGCCTGGTGCCCTCTAGCCCTTCCAATAAGTCTGTAAGTTATTACATCTTTCTTCACTTAAACACCCACCTCCTGCGCTGACCCCAGGGAAGCCTCAACATTCTGTCTTTCCTAGCTAGCTTTCTCTCACTACTTATTCTTTTCTTTGGTTTTCTTCCCATGATGGGGATTGAACCTAGGGCTCACGTACACTAGGCAAGCACTCTCGGCCCACTTGTGGTCCTTTCAGTATTTACAGAGTAGCTACACATGTACCAACCAATGTCTCTCATGACTGAGAAACATCCATGAGATAAACAGATTTGCATCGTCCCTCATGGGAGACAAAGAGCAAGAACCAGCAAAACACACCCTTGGGGCCCTTGGCTTGCTTTCTTTTGGGTGTAAAGTTTTCTGGAAACACAGCCACACCCATCTGGTTCTGTCCTGTCAGAGCTGGCTTCACCCAGCGCTGGCTATGTTGAGCACTGATTGACCCAAGAACCCTGAAAATACTTACTTTATAGAAAGTGTTTGCCCATTCCTTCTTTAAGCAAGTACCCATTCCATCTTTAAGCAAGTTCCTGTGACCCCATCTGCAGGCAACTGTTCACTCTATGGATTCTGCTGAACTGTGGGGCAAGTGCCAAGTTCAGGGTTAAGCATCTCATGAACATCCTCTGGGCTCGTTCTCAACATCTCAGGGACATACTGTCATCATCACTATTAATCTTTTTTTGTTGTTATTTTGTTTTGTTTCTGTTTTTTCAAGACAGGGTTTCTCTGTCCAGCCCCTGCTATCCTGCAATTCAGTCAGCAAAGCTCCAACTCTGAGATCCGCCTATCTCTGCCTCCCTTAGGAGTCTGTTATTATGACCCCTGCTTTACTGGCAGGGACACAGAATTACAGCGAGTTGGGTTCAGGTGAATGATGACAACGCTTTTAACAGAGAGAGAAGATGCAAAGGAGGACCAGAAAGGACAGA